TCTATACCTCATTTACTTCCACATTGATATCTCCCTGTACACTGGAAAGTGGGTGGATAGCGATAACCTGGATCAATATCAAGACAGCATGACCATTTTGTTAAATAATGGTTTCGTCACGATCATTTAAGGTCAGTTCAATCCTTTATTGTACAATCTATAAGCCTACGTCGAGACAAATTCTTTCTGTCATTATCCTATTTTAAGACAGCTCACGAACCAGTCAATCTTAGCTCTCTCATCGGGTTAGTGTGGATCATATGATCATATCACATCGCATTTCAGCATCTCTTTGGTCTGCCTAAGCATGTTTCGCCCTAAGAAAAGTCTAAAGTTGATCTGTTTCACAAACGCCACAATCATACCACCCGATGATGGATACTAAGATCGAAGTCGGGCAGGAGAATATTTATTTCGAAATGGAATCTAAACAGGAAGATAACGCCGAAACCTATGACCATGTAGCTTTCAGAAAAGACACTTCACAGGCAAAAACAAACGTGGAAACACAGCCGTATATAGATTCTGATACAGTGAAGCATAACCCATTATTCTTTATCGCATCTGCCATCGCTGTTGCTTCGCTCTTAACAGCTCTTGCCACTTTTAACTGTGGCAATCATGACGACACGGAGCGAGGTTTCAACAGGTATGGCTACTATTGCTCTTTCCTGTTGTAAGTAAACACTCGTAAGTATTGATTCATTGAAATTTTAAAAGTAGCATTAGTCAAACGCGTACGACACGATAAAGCAAACAATAATTTACTTCGGTCTCGACCATTTAATTTCCTGTCCGAAGAGAAAATTAGCTAACCTTCCGTTTTGATATGATTTGAGTATTTTTATTATTAAGATTCCACGAAATTGGGTCAGTAAAAGCTACGTTTTTTTTTTAGTAAAAAGCCCAATTTATCAACTAACTACTCTCGCATAAAACTTTCATCTCCAAATTAAAAAGTAACTTCTTGAAGAATTTCGTACAGAATTTGAAATATTTGACCTTTATTTACGAAAGCTTTCTCCGCACTGGTGATTAGTATAGGATTTCAAGTCTAAGAAAATGACATTGCTTACAAGGGGCAATCCGTCTATCATGGTACATAGTCGTAATCATGAACAACATGGGCAATTCTATTATGTCTGCATGATTTGGTATTTAGATGAGGCTAGGTTGTGACAACTGAGCGTTGAAAAACATATCTCTTTAACAGTAAATTCGTTTGCTCTCACACAACTCCGATCCGCGAGTGTGGCACATCAAGCATATTGCTGTAAAATACATTTATTATTAATAAATACTAAAGCTCTCGGATGTATTGTAATGCCTCTTAAAAATAGATAGAATAGTGGTTGTCATCTCCTGAAACCAACAATGATTCCCCGAGGAAAAAAAACCGAGTCAGCGATGTTTCCTTTGATCATCGATAAAAACTTTTACGTATTTAAGACTTCGTAAGAGCGGTCCGGTCGATTTAGCTTGGGATACAAACTACCTCATTCCCTTCTGTGTTCTAAGATATCTCATGTCCTTCTAGTGAAGTCACAACCCACCTAATCCGGGATCTCTTTCTTTTTCTCGAGTATAACGGTAGTCAATTTTTACTCGAGCGAAAGCTTATCAAGAAGATGCTAAGAATTTAAATATTATCACTTTGTCGGTTCATGTGTTTTAGCACGCTGAAATAAACAAATGAAAGGTGAGAATCACATACGATAGTGCGTTAAAAGCAGCCAATAAAATCGAGAGGCAATTGCTATGTTCGCGGCGCTTTCTTGCCGCGTTCGTGAAAGAAATCAAAGTATTTTTTGCGCCATTGAAAATGCACAAAGCATAAAAACTAAAAAAGAGTTGGTAAAGGATGGCTCAGCCGCCAGAAAAGTGCTTGTTCGAACAATAACAACGTATGTTAATAGCGCCTGTGTAAGTTCTGTCGCCGGTGGTATAATACTAGTGATGACTTCAATTATGCCAAACTACTCTCAGTTTAGCAATTGTACTGTTGATTTCAAAAGATTTATAGAATTTTCTTTTCGAATTTCTGGAAAACTTAGATGGCCAGACTTTGTAATTTCACACAAGTTTCACTTGATGGTGTATTTACCTTAGGGGAAATAAAAACCATTTAAGTTGTAGACGCTTGCCTAATTGTTAAAACCCTATTATTGACACTCCATAATGATGTTATAGTAATACTATATGTAATATTTTATATAAATAGATATGTATATATATATATATATATATATATATATATATATAATAAAAAGAGAGGTGCAAAGGTACAAAAAAAGTCTGGGTCGGGTCCAAAACAATATTTTTGCAAGCGAAAATATTTTTTTCTTAACACAAAAGTTTTAAAAAATATTTAGAAAAAAACCAAACTTTATCTTAAGCATTTCAAACTCAACCCAAGTGCAGACTTAAACCTCCTCTTTTATTAATAGAGATTCTTAAGAGACTAAGAGTTTCTTACGATGTCTAAGTTTTTTTCTGTTGTTGTTGTTGTTGTTGTTGTTTTTGTTTTTTATTGAGTAGGTGAAAAAAATGCTACAGGCAGCACGAGCGTCAGAGGACCACCTGGAGTCAATGGTACTAATGGTGAGATTGGACCTGCCGGACCTGCTGGATCTATCGGACCTCCAGGATATAATAGTACAAAGGGTGACATTGGACTTGCCGAACCTGCTGGACCTGCTGGACCTGCCGGACTTCCCGGATCTCCGGGATATAATGGTACTCAGGGTCCTGCAGGACCGTCTGGAATACCTGGTGTTCAGGGTCTTCGTGGACCATCTGGGTTCAATGGTACTCACCTCTTTATATGATGTCAAAGTTAATAATGATGTCAAAGTTAATAATGATGTCAAAGTTAATAATGATGTCAAAGTTAATAATCTAAAACTTTCCTGCCATCCGAACTCATTCAAAGGTGTACATGATTTATTTATTAGAAACGCTGTTCCTTTTCCACCACTAACTTCGCGTCCGCCCCTTTTGCCCTTGCGAGCCGGGCTTACGGGTACAAGGGTACCTGAGAACTCCAAAGCATAACCCTTACCCCCCACCCCCGCCGGGCTATGCCCTTGTTATAACATACGTGTATCATCTAATCGTGATTAATTTCTCACGTGAAACCGATTTCGAGAAGTTGTCCCTGGCTGCATAAAATTTCAGTATAGGAAATCCAAAATATCACTTAAAAAAGAAAATATATGGGAGTAAATCAATAGTTTCAACGAGATAATCAGCATTAAGGATGGAACTGGAAGAAAGTTTTGTGAAACTAATGAAGAAATGTAAAATGGTTTCCGTGTTTACATAGTCTGATGTAAACGCGCGGGAGGTTGGGAGAACACGAGATAAGCGTAGGAAACCACGACGCGAGGCGGAGTGGTTTCCAGCTTATCGAGTAAACACGGATGTAAACTTTCTATGTAAACACGGAAACCATTTTACATTTCTTTTATAAAATAACTGATGAAAGAGGAACGAAAACTGTGTTTACATACGCTCATGTAAAATGGTTTTATGGCCAATCAGAGCGCACCTACTATTTGAATTATTTCATAAATAGCCATGTTACCCAGAAAACCTCTCAGTTTTAATACGAACTGTTGCTTTCTCATATTTAAATTCGCACTGATATTTTTAATCAATGCCAAACATAGACTTTAGTCCCTTGGGCTAGCAAACATATTTTGTTTTATGTTATATTTTGTACTTAACGGACAATAAAGTATTTGTAAGTATGTCAAGTTAAAAAGGAGTACTAGCAGCCACAAGTGGTTAACGCCTAACATAGCCGCGACTTCAGCAACTGACGTGTAATGACTGTCGGAAATATGGCTCTAAAAGGTAACCTAATGTGAAGAAATAAAAGTTTTAACTTAACAACATGCCTTCCCTTCAGTTTTGTGTATGTTTTTCATCTAGTATGTAAAGGTCACATTTACTTTTCTCACGTTTCTTGGTAATCATGGCCATTTTAGTGAAAAAAATACTGTTCTTTAGCCGAACAAAGATAAGGTTTTATTTTAATGATTCAAATTCATAAAAGTGAGGACATAAGTTGTACTATATTGTGGTCGAAGTGCTGACAGCCTTGAGCGATGGTTATTTCATAATGCTTGGTGAAACCCTCTGGGACTAAGGAACTTCGTGAAGCGGTAAAAATGGTGTCCCTTCTTTCGACCGAGTCGAATGGATTGGGTGGGTTTTACAAAAGCTCAGCTTTAGGCATTCAAATAATGCTTAATTCGAGAGCGAAAACAGTTGACTGCATTTAAAATCGCCTCGTATTGCATTATGCTTAAAAAGGGGAAAAAAGGGTGCTGCCATAGGCAGGGATTTGTGTGATTGATGGGACTATGAAAACAATGTTAAAAAATGGTTCTAGTATCGTATCTTGCTTTGGAAGAGTTCTGAATACTTCTTTTCCCATCTTTCTCAACGCCTTTATAGCATTCAGTTGAAATTAAAAGTAGCCATTTCAGAAAATATTCCATGCCACCTCTCAAATTACTTTAGCATTAAATGTAATCAAAGGTGGTCTCTACGAAACCAGTGGATCATTAAAGTTAAGAAAGTTTTAGTTTAGGTTTGACTTCAGCCCATCGAAGACTAAAATATCAAGAGGAAATCCTCCATACCTTATTTGCTTCTACCTTGATATCTCACCGTACACTGGAAAGTGGGTGGATAGAGATAACCTGGATCAATATCAAGACAGCATAATTATTTTGTTCAATAATGCGTTCATCATCATTTAAGGTCAGTTCAATCTTTTATTGCGCAATCTATAAACTTACGTCGAAACAAATACTTCCTGTCATTATCCTATTTTAAGACAGCTTACGCATCAGTCATTCTTCGCTCTATCATCAGTCAGTAATGATCATATGATCGCATCACATTTCAGCATCTTTTTGGCCTGCCTAAGCTTGTTCGCCTCCAGAAGCGTCTAAAGTTTATCCGCACCACAAAAGGCATAATCATACCAACCAATAATGGATACTAAGACCGAGGTCGGGCGGGAGAACATTTCTTTCGAAATGGAATCTAAACAGGAAGATCACGCCGAAAGGTGTGACGATTCAGTTTACAGAAAGGACACTCCTCAGGCAAAGCCGAAGGTGGAAACACAGCTGTGTAAAGATTCTGATACAGTGAAACGTCACCCATTATTCTTAATCGTATCTGCCATTGCTGTTGCTTCGCTCTTAACAGCTCTTGCCACTTTGGTTTTAGCTGTGGCAATCATTACGGCACGGAGCGAAGTTTCCACAGGTACGGCTACCATTACTTCTCCCTGTTGTTAGTATTAAACACTCGTAGGTCTTGATCCATTCAAATCTTAAAAGTGATTGAAAAGGTGCACTAATTAAACGACAGGACGAAGCAAAAAATTATTCACTTCGGTCCTGACTATTTCCTGTCCAAAGAGGAAATTAGAGGAACTTCCGGCTCGATATGATTTGAGTATTGCTATTATTACCAGAGCTTTCCCCGCACATATGATTAGTATTGGATTTCTAAGAAAATTATTTATAGAAGGGGAAATCCGTCCATCATAATACTTATCCGTAATTTTGAACGACAAGGGCATTTCTATTGTGTCTGCATTATTTGATATTTAGATAAGGCTAAGTAAAAACAACTGAGCTTTCCAATTGAATGGCCGTTTTTATGCTAGAGACGTTAAAGTTGTCTAAGACGTTAAAGTCGTCTCGAGATGACTTTAACGTCTTAGACAACTTTAACGTCTCTAGCAAAAAAAGGCCATTCAGTGACATGCAGGATATTGTCACGATTGCTTAGGAAAAGAGGGAAAATATCGTATTTAAATAGTGAATAATCTATCTTTGACATATAAAGTGCGTTCTTCAAAAGGGTATCTTGATGTGAACCACTTAACACCAAGTTAGTATCATGAAGTATGCAAAGGCCGAAGACACTGTAAGTGATGCAAATGCTCTGAGTCGTTGAATTGAGAACTTTGACCATTTTTCATCTCTTTCTAGTATCTAAAATTGTTAGTTGGGGCACGAGAAGTAAACCATGTGTGTAATAATATCTGCAAAAGATGAGGTTATAAAAAATTTCAATAGTGAAAAGCATAACTGGCTGGGGCTTTTGGAATTAAACCCGTGAATTCACTTATTAACACAAAAATCAACCCCCTTCCCCCCCCCTTCCCCCTTATCAAATTTGAAATTGAAATTTTGATTAACATACATACCAAGAAAATTCAAAGTTCCATGTAGATAATTAAAAATGGTAATAGGAACGAGTGGAGTTCAATTCGGTGTGTGATCATAAGATTGATTGTCAATCACTCGTATCATTACTGACAGAATTGGACGACTCTAAGTCCTGTTGCCAATTAATTATGACCATTAAAATTTAGGGAAAAAAACAAAAAAACAAATATATTTATATGAGAAAGGGCTTTTAATAATGATTATCCAAAACATGATCATTAAAATCTTCGACAAAAGCGAAATGCAACGTTTAAAAACGGCTTTCAAAACAGAGATAAAAAAAAAGAAAAAAAAAGTCTAAAACCACTCAAGCAAAACGATTACTTATCAACAACCAGTCATTTCCACCGTTCAAGTGTCAATCAATTAAACAATCAACCGGGCGTACAGCCAAGGAACGAAAAATTCACAGAATTTAAAAATCGCGCCGTGGTAAGTTTCGAAAAAATAGTCGCCATACATCTACCGCAGCTATCTCTAGAAACAAAAGAAAGCATTACAACTTTTTTTAAAGAATCTCTTGTAATTATATCAATCGACTAATCTGAGTCCAAGTCGATGATTACCAGCCTTTTCCTTCGTCTTTTGCTTCGCGAGGAATCTCCAGAAGGTACGTTATTGTTTGAGTCGAACACACACCGGTTGAACACTTGACAAGGAGCCTGTTGGAGAGTTTTTGTCGCCATTGTGACAGACTGTCATGGTGTGAAGAAAGGAGGCATATCACTTGATCCATACGGATTAGCTGGAATGTCTTCCTTCATGTTTACATCTTCTGGGGCTTGACAAGAGGAAGAAATAATTGCCGGCGATCGACCTTTGAACTATCACTGATAAAGTCGATGTTGCGGCATACCCAATTGTTATACGAGCCAATTGCCTTGGTTCGCTCTCCGTTGTTTTGTCATAATCATCCAGCGAAGACTCTCTGGCATGTCCAGTAACTTGGATAATTTTATGAAGTGGTTGGCCCGCTTCTTTTAATTTCGCAACGACCGTTTTTCTTGTAGAATGTTATTTTTAGGTTAATTTCTTGGCACGCTCCTCTGGTAAACAACTTGCAACTGATTTCATTATTTGGCCAATTCGATGCTCATCCATTCTAGATTTGGCCTACCAACACTTGTGGAGGGCTCAGAAATAATTGCAAGGTATAAATCTTCGCCACTCTTCGAAAAGTCGTACGAGATCCCATTCATCACCGTCAGTCCCTTGCGAAATGGCTCTTGGAATTCCTAGGAATTCCTAGGAATAAAGGTGTGAATTTTCACGGTAAATTCGGACTGGGAATTCCTAGGAATTCCTAGGAATTCCTAGGAATTCCCAACCATAACAACTCTGGTTCTAAAAACCTAGAAATTCCTAGAAATTCCCAGAAATTCCCAGAAATTCCCAGAAATTCCCAGAGATTCCAAGTTTATAGCCAACAGGACTTGGAATTCCTAGGAATTCCTAGGAATTCCTAGGAATTCCAACTCAGAGAACCAATGACTTTCCCTGAAAAGCTGTAAATCTAAAAAATTCCTAGGAATTTCTGGGAATTTCTGGGAACTTCTGGGAATTTTTGGGAATTTTTAGGAATGTTTAAGAATTACTGGGAATTTTAAGCAAAAATTTGAGGCTAATGATATAAAATAAATACTTTAAATTAAAAAAAACCCAGCTAAAATTCAAGTATTCAATGAAATTTATTTAGAAGCTTAATTAAGGCTTACATGTAAAATATTTTTGATTAATTACTAACATCAATGTGTGGTAATATTAGGATGGAATTTGATTTATTTTTCTTTCCTTGAAAACTTCATACGGATTAATCCTCAATTACAGCTATTCATATAAAATAGTTCTAATCAATCATTAAATTTGGTTTGACACAAATTGTGAATAAAATCTGTTGATTCTCTTCCATAAAATACAATATCTTAAGTTCTATTTATATAGTTATATTCTTGGGAGTGAAGGGGCTAATTACAGACAAATAAAATTGATTTTTTGATTAAAATCTTGTTGTAACTGTAACAATAAATTAGAATGAAGTTATCCTAAACTGCAAACTTAGCTGCTGTTTCTACTGTTTGTATTTTTTTTCCTGGGCTCACAATGAGTTGGCCTTGAATGAGGTTGTCAACAAGAACCTTGACCATTTTGTATCTGGATTCCTTGACATCTGAATTTGAAAAAAAAAATATATATTAAAATATGTATGTTTAAAGCTCAGACCAGGCTTTTAAGATGGCTATGAGGAAAAGGGCATTCATTGGATTCTCAAATTGAGAAATCTCTGTTATATTGAGTGACTTTTATATTGGAGTTAGTACATCTCTCTCATGGATTTTACTAAAAAAGGGCTGAATACATTATTTTGTTTTTACCAAGGAGGGCTTCTTTATGTACTAAGGTTTGTTATGAATCTTGAATGTTCCCAAACGTGACTAGAGGAATCTTGAAACCTTGCTGATAGGTTTATTTTATTGTAAAGCATAAGCTTAAGAAACTGCGGCATGCAAGTGACCGATTCGATTCTCAGAATTATTCTAGTTTCAGTTGCGCCGAGCGTTATGTAAGCTTAATTCAACTCGCTACATCTATTATTTTATAAGATTTTGATCTCGTAACGAATATCGCAATTTTTACTCACCACAAACTTTCAAAATCGTAGCTTTACAGATGGCCACTCGACCCTTGTTTGTACCAGTCCATATGTCAACTGTTGTCCCTTCTTTTAACTCCACGGCGCCAACGACTTTCTTCTCTTTTACAACACTCACGCTATTCTCGTTTTCCCATTGAACCACAATAATAGCTATCTTTAGAAATGTTATATTAAGCAAAACAGTTGAGAAAAGCGATCAATCGACGAAAAGTACATTCAAAGATGAGCGCCAAATGGAGTCTTCTTTGTTTCCGATCACGGGCATGATCACGTGGATCTTTTAGGACTTGTCATTGGCTAGCAAAGTGAATCCGCTGGCTTGCCGATTGCAGTGTTAAGATAAGCGCACAACTTTATTCTGACTTCTCCGACCGGTTCTCTGCTTCTAATTCTCCTCTACTAACTATGTTCTAGAAGATGGATAGCTTGGTGATATAAATAAAGATGTGAGCTCACTCTATGTAGAAATAATCGACAAGAATCGATCGTATTACAAATGCACGATTTGTGGCCGAAAGTTGTCGAGGAAACAAAGACTCGAAACTCACTTGAGTTGTGTTAATGGCAAAGGTGAGAAATAACACAAGCCAATCACAGTTTTGAATGCGACTACAAATCGTCTTTTACCCTCATATTTATAAAAGAAGGATACCACATTCGGAAGTATAAGAGATACATAGATGATCCCAGTGTACCAGTACCTAAATCTACAAAGCTTGACCGTAGCAAGCGTTCAGCAACACGTTCCAACACCGCCATCTCGATTCCTCAGTCAGTCGTTTCCACTGAACTTAAAGCAGTATTGACAACAGAGTAGAGTGCGTCTTACAAAGGAGAAACATTTGTACAAGAGACAGGAGTAGCTATATGCGATTACAGAGGTGCGTTGGAACTCTGGTCCATAAATAGTTATGCACTGTATAAAACAGTTTTGTTGATAGCTGACAGACAGAGAAGAACAACAAGTAAACTTAAGAGCTGTTATTATTGAAGTGTGACTAGCACTTTTCATTTTTATATAAAGAAGGACTTGTAATTTGCACCAAAAATAAAAAGATGTAATATTTTTTTGGGAGATCCAGTGATTGGGACATTTAAGAAATTAAGTTATGAAAGGAAACTTGGTTGGTACTTCTCACTACTAACAAGTCTTGTTGACAAATATTTTCAGATCAGAGTTTCAAATAAAGTAAATTGAAGACGTCATATAAAAGGTGTTTTTCCTCAAAGGGAACATTGACTACCTCTGTCTTGTCTGCATGCCAAATGTTTGCAAAGTGTGTGAATGATCCACAAGTATTGGAACTCTTACAAAAATGTTTTGTAAGAATAAAAACAGCAAAACAAATTACAGCAATTAGTCATGAAAATAGAGCAAAAAACTGAAAAAAAAAAAAAACAGCAACAACAATCATGAAAAAAGAAAGATTAATTAGGCGTTGAATTTGTTTGTCTAAGGCATGAAATTTCTACTAAAAGTATTGTCAACAAAAAGTCTCTGACAGCGTTTGAGGCAACTGAGCTTGACTGTTCCAAGGTTTTCTAACAAAGGCGACCAGTAATGTAGGTTAGGGAAGTAAGATAACAATGTAATTATTGTTAATTATTGTGGAAGTTGGCAATTTCCATTTAACATACCTGACAGCTGGTTCATGAGAAAATCCATATTAATGTAAAGATTTACTAAAACTTAGTTTGAGTAATAAATTTCATGATCTTTAAGTTGTAAACATGTACATGTATGTATATCTCTTGGTAAGTTTTGTATAGCATACCTTTTATTGAGCCAAAGTTTTAAGCCTCTGAAATTACTCTTTTTCTTAAAACGTTCACATTCAAGGTATTGAGAATTTCTTAGAATTTATGTGGACCTCAGGGTATTAAAATTGCTTCAAATTCAATTCCCAGAAATTCCCAAGAGTTCCACACCTCTCAAATTATAGGTAGTTTGTAAAGCTGAGAATTCCTAGGAATTCCAAGGGATTCCAAGTCCTCACAAAACTGGAGTCTTCCTTTCCCAGAAATTCCCAGTAATTCCAAGCTTTTTAAATCAGAGTTAATTTGCATAGTTGGGAATTTTTGAGAATTCCTAGGAATTCCTAGGAATTCCTAGGAATTCCCAGAAAACTGGGAATTCAGTTTGCAAGGGTCATTTGCATAATTGGGAATTTTTGAGAATTCCTAGGAATTCCTAGGAATTCCTAGGAATTCCCAGAAAACTGGGAATTCAGTTCGCAAGGGGTAGACCTCACTTGGAAGTAAGAGTCTCTTGAGACTTCTGGAACTCGCCCGCTGATGATAGATGCCAAATAATTTTTCTTCGGCGGAGATACCTGTGGAGTAATTCCTGCATAATACGAAGCGAATCTGGTTCGTACTCTTTCCCATATTTTTTCCGGACTGCAGCAAAGAATTTTGTCAGAATCTCATCCAAAATTTGGGGGTTAAGCACTCCATTTTATTGTCGATATTTCGAGCTAGGCACCAAGTTGCCACACTGTCATGTTTTTCTTGTGCGCTTTTTGTTTTTGCTTGCAGCGGACTCATTTAACTCAACTAGACACTCGACGAACGTTCACTCGGGCTTCGTATCAAGCGTTTTACTTAAGCATTCACCACTGGATAGTTTGGTATAATTGACTCTAAGCATGTCTCGCATACTGGGGCTCTACATTCGTTTAAGGGGTCATCATTTTCTTCTTCATTAGTATCTTGCATCATACTCTAATACAGGATCACTGTCTGTTGTTCCGTTGTTTAATGTAGCTTGTTGATGTGTATCATTATCGTCAGCATCATTTTGCAAAGCTGTGAGGTTGCTATCAATATTGTGAATATCAACTAGTATATCTTTGTACAATGGATTATATACTTTGAGCCAGTTGAGAACTTGCTGTATTAACTCTGGCCGTATTCCTTGAAAATAAACATTTCCTCAAAGTTTGAACTTTCTTTTAAGCTTTAACATTAGCATATCAGATCTGTGAGGTGGACAAGGAAGTTGATTACATGTCTGATCACGTTCTATAGGTACACTGCTTATTGCACCTTTAATTTTTCTGTGTTGTTCATTAGGCATGACCAGAATCTTCTCAAATACTATTGGTTGAGCTATTAGTGTTTGTTCAAGTATTTCTAGTGAGGACAGTTTTGTGGGTATTTCATCCAAATGAGTGTTGAATATTGAAATATGTTTGGCGAGGGTACTTCTTGTTTATGCATGTTATTACTGATTTCATATAAAGTATTCAGTTATAGTCAGTACATATAAAATAAGGGCCTTCTCTTATTTTCCTCTTAAACTGGTTAATACACAATTCAACTGATCTGGCTTTCATTAATCTCTCATTGCATTGGGAAAGTAATTCTTTCTTCTTTCTAGCATCCTTAGTTAAATATTTTCTTTAAATGTCTTCCAGAAACCTTTTTTGGCAACAGGTTCCATGCTGTTATACATGTTTTTTTCTGTGTTTTCTCGTGATGTGTTTCCTTTCAATTTCAATAATTTTATTTGGACAGCAAACAAATTATAAATCATATTCCATAGTCTGACATTCCTGTTTATTTTGAATAATATTTTATTAATTTTCTCTACTAGATTATTCACACCACGAACATGTTTTGTCTGTTTGGTTGCAGGTGAATGACTGTCTTCATAGGTCAGAAGAGAAAACAATTGCTTTACTTTTGTATTTTGTTGATAAATACAAGTTATACTGTGACTTGAAATCCACATTAAAAAGCCTGTTTTCCCAGTGTAGTTCCTCAAAATCAAGGTCTCTGAGGATATTCTGCTTTCAGTTAAATTACTTAATTCTCCATGACTTACTTCACTGATGTGTACATTTATGTTATTGCCAAAAATTATAACACTGTCAGGCTGGGTAACAGATGTTAAACAGTGCTTACTGTGCATTGAATTGTTAAGCTGAGATCTATTTTCAATGATTGCATCTAAGGTATTTGAGTACCATTAACTACAAGGTGAAATGATCAAGTAACATATTGAATAAAGAACTACTGCAAAACAGTAGTCTTTGTAACACTTGTGTTGACCTGATGATCTCTTTAAAACCTCTCTTATAATATTGCTTATTGTCATGTCATATTTTGTAATTTGTAAACCTTCTAGTTCACACAGCTCAGTTGCTCCACACAAACTTTGAAAGTAACACACTAAGTTGTCTGTAGATAATATATCTAATAGAACACATCCCTCGAGCGTGACTTTTACCATAAACATCTCTAGCATGTTAGTCAAACACTATAAATGGCCATTATCAGCACAGTAACTAATAATTACAGCAGTACATCCAACTGTTGAAATAAATGACCTAAATAGTTCTGATATCAATGACTCAAAAGCTCTTTTCAGGCCTATAAAGTATTGATATCCCTCAATGGTAGGCTCACCATAGACATTACCAGTGTAACCTTCCCTGTATTTTAGCTAGTAATCTTCCTCTAGTAGTGTAAGCATTGATGGTAAATCTGTTGGCAGTGAAAATGATTGTCTACTAGATAATTATGACAAACTACTATATAGTTTATTTCCAATATGCATTATTTGTTTCAAGTCAACAGGATTACCTATTCCTTTCATATTGTGGTATGTTAATGCCATAAACTCATTGCAACACATTGTTGCCCTGCATTTTGTCCAAATACAACAACATCCCCTTGACTATATGGTGCTTTTCTTATTTTACTGGGATCCACTTGGTGTAACCGGGACCAAGGTTTTTTTGATATAATTATAGAGCTTGTTCTTTGTACAATTGCCTCTGTGGATTACACCCTTGTAATCACCATATGGGAAATTACACAAAAATAACCTTAAGTATTTGAGATATTTCTTTCCCTGTTTATCTCTTCTTGAATTGTACACATATCTCTTTGAAGAGTCAACGTTTCTTGTTCTAAAAATTGGTTTCCTAATTTTTTTGTACAAACCTGACTCTTGTTTTATGTGCACTTTTCTTTCGTGTTGCTAATTTTTAATAAGATCACGGACTTTCGATGACTTTAGTACGTTTTTATTTTAAAAGGCTCCGTACATAACTCTGTAATTTTCTAATTTTCTGAGAGAGAAGTTTGAACATCTTCACTGGTACTCTGCTTGGTTCACGATCACGTTCACACGAGACTTACACGAAACACGATTACAATTATAATATCCATACTTTGCACGACGAGATCTGAATTGTTATACCTTTATTGACACTAACATCATTATGGTCATGTACATTAGTCATATTGAGAACTTTTTTCTAGTAGATCACAATCATCAAGAGTATTCATCATGTCTTCTACTAAGCACATACAACTCCATGCGAAGAGCAAACCAACATTCACGACCGCTTGTTACAATATTAATAGTGCTTATGTACGAAATACCAAATCGTACTTTACAAGTATTGAACCCAATAAAAATCAATAATAGAAACTGGATATTTAATGGAAGAGCTAAGCGTAGATATTTAACCTCACTATCCACTACTTGCTTCTGTCAGTATCCTTATCAAATTCGCTGTTGTTAGTGCCACCTTCGAAGTTGTGTTCACGAGCATTCTTGATTTTTTCAGCAAGTAAGGTGTTCGTCTCAGCATCATAATTTGTTGTTAAATCGGCTGTCACGGTTTTGCTTGTAATTTCGTAGTTTGAACCACATATGGCTCATTTGTTATCTCGTGAGAACTAGTATGAACTTTGCACATTTGGCTAGCTTTCAAGCTATAGGCTTCGTAGACTGGCACATTCCGAAATGCTCGACGTCATTTTGTACGTGAGATGAGCGTACAAGACAGGAATCTTTGCTAGGCGGTCCACACAAACAACGGCATTCTATTAATTATGTTTACGAAGAGCGAGCACATGATAACACAAGTTGTTGGACTCTCATCCCCAGTTTCCGCGGTTTACGCGAGGAACGCCTGGGACCATGATCCCCCTTTTAGCGGGAGTTACTACATCGCGGGCGACGAGTGGCGGAAGAAGAAAAGATCGAAATACGAGTGGTCAGCTGGGAAACAACTTTAATACTTCATATAGAGACATATCAGTTATAGTTGCGGAAAACAATAGTGTTGTAAAGCCCGAAATATCAACGTTATATTACGCTAAATAAAATGTTAAGCAATTTTTCAAAAGTGTTGATGGCACATACATCTTTTACTGTTGCAATAAACAGTGAAGGCATCGGAAAAGGCATCAATGGTATCGGGAAATGCACCAAGAAGAATTATATTTACGTTTTGTAACTTGCTGCGTGACGTGCGTGACGAAAAAAGAAAACCAAAACCGTGGTCTCCAAATGAATTCTCCCACCTTAATCTTGCCCCAATAAATTTTCAAATTTTTAGCAACTTCACCTCTTCCTATTGGTAGGTCCGGCCAAGCCTTTATGGTCATTGGCCCCCGTATAGCTTCTAACTATGGCTTATAAATAGAGGTGTTAAATCGTTAAAACGCGTCGGAGAATAAAGAAAATTTTACAACAACTGTTCGAAGAGTGCTGCTCACCACTTTAGTAAATTTGGTGCGATAGCTGTGGTCAGTTTTTCTATTCAGGTTGTATGGCAGAGACGTGGGGGGGGAGGGGCGGAGACACCAACACAACATTTCACCTGCCGTTCGGTTCGAAAGTTAAGTTTTCATCCCGAGTTCATTGTCGTTGGAATTCTTCAGAAATAGTGATTTGGGAAGTATCCGTTTGTTGCACTTCCACGGACATTAACGATGTTTCAGCCACTGTACTGGCTGTGTCTCCTCCAACCTGCTAGACAAGTCAACTAACGAACAATTCAACTTTACAAACAAACTATTGTCAAATTCGAAGTAACCTAAAAAAAAGGCTGCAAGTCATAATCTACTCTTTTCCAGTTGAAGATCGAAATGTTCTTTTACTTCTGAATTTCGACATTGTTTCTCGTAAATGCAGTGCTGTTATTATAGGCATTCCTTGCGAATGACGCACTAGCTTGGAAAGATCGTTTACATATAACTGGCAGGAAGATGGTCTTTTGCTTACCAAATTTTTGACAGTTGAACAAATAATTCTCTAGATAGTGATTGAATGCAATAGTTAAAAAATATCTTGGTTCTATTTCTCCCTTTTTGTATAAGAGAGATGTTTGGCGAACGGTGTCAACATTTACTTATCAATGTATGAAGCTTCAACATGTGTTCAGTGATTTATCTTTTATCTATTTATCCGTTTGTTCATCTTTTCATTTGAAATCCTTCGTTATTTTTTGTGTACATTTGCTATGTTTTTCTTATTGTTTCCTTTTTTCTAGAAACGTCAGAACTTCAAAAGAATGTGCAAGAGTTGAAAAGGAACCTCTCCGCGTTAGGAGATTACTCGGTAGGAGTGATCCTTAATCATTAGTAGTGATCAGTTAAAAGCAAAAGTGCACTGATGTGAAATACACAGGCACATGTATATACATAAGACTAAAGGCCTTAAGAGGACTTTTAACTCCCTGAGTATTAGTTAATATAGTATAGAAATAGAGATTTTAAAATGACCTTTAATACTTCCCTGGAGTGCAGGCTGGAGGCATCGTTTTTGTGGTAACAACGCGGCACTTTTGCTTTAACTTTTTCAATAGGGTGATGTAAATTTTATTCCTAACCAGGCTGATAAACATTAATATAGGCCTAGATGTCATTATCACAGACATTATTAGTGTTCTCCTAATTTTTTGAACCAATTTTGGAAGCATAGTAGTTGCTAACCTTATATTGCAAATTGCACACCCATATAGCCATCATCATAATTAGATCATTATGAATAACTAATGCCAAGAAAGCATTCTTCAAAAAAGAAATTCGATCAGGAATATTGATCTACATTTTTTGTTGTTATAGGTTTCAGGGGATGTAAAGGAACTGAAGAGAAACGTAAGTTTACAATTCATTCACCCCCACTTTCCTTAATAAACTTAATCATTATCTTATTGTTAATAATAACGATAATGATAATGATCGTAAATGAACCATTCATTCAAAATGATATGATGTTGAGAGGTTTCTTTTCTTTTCTTTTCTTTTCCTCCTTATGTTAGGTCTCAGCAGAGTTGAAAGGGCTAGAGATAAAGGCAAGTTTAAATTCATCCATTTCCAATTCCATCTATATTAGGAAAAAGATTACAATGAGTTCATTAAGTTCAACACGAGTGTCTTACTCTATGGCAGATGAAAAAAGATATGGAAAACATGAAAAACAAGGTAAGTTTCAATACCAAAATTAAGAATTTATGTTTTTCTGAATCTCTCACTGTTACGATTCCTATCATCATTTTTTTCAAAAACAAAACGAGGACTGCTCTACTTAATTCACCAAATTTAATAGGCCCACTAATTCTATAACACAATAACTTGGCCCGTTTTACCTTTTAGGGCAAAAATACAGAGCTACAGGATATCCGTCTCACAATACAGGATGCTACCCAAGTTTTGATTGGTCTAAATACAAGCGTAAATGAGAGGTTTCTGCATTTTCAACAAAGAATCATGGAACTGGATCAAAAGGTACTTCTACCGCAAATGTATTTCTATATGCTTTTTCGAACCGAATTTCGAATCAACCAATCAGAGACTTGATCTGAAATATGGAGCAATGCCAAGTCACTGCCCTAGGCTTCACGATATTATTTCCTCCGATTAAAGTTAAGTAACTTAATGGTCATCACAAAGTACGTGGTACACATATGCCTCTAAACCTGTGCAAAAACAGAGACTGTTTTCTATCGTGAGTAAAAGGGGATTTTCGAAGATTGTCAAACGTACAACTCCTCACAGTTTGCAAGGGTCTGCATTGAACAATGCTACCCCAGCAAATTCTGAGGTTGTTTTGAAAGTGACCTGTTTATATACATTTAATGTCTGTGGAACGCAAGGGATAGTTTTTTTTTTGTATTTCATGTCAAGCTTGAAAATGTCACAATCGAGATTAGCTTCAACTTAGCTTATTGTTCAAAAAGTTCCTCAACACGAACCGTTTTTACCGGCTTAGACGAGCATTTGATACTTCCATGTAACATTTCTACTGTTTACGTGGTCATTCCCTAAAGCAAATACTTGTATTACTATATGCACTTTATAATGAGCATAAATTTTCATTAATCACTTGTTTCACGCCCGTTTATGGACTCGTTCTTTCTTCTTCGCAAGCCTTGTAATAAGGCAACTGACTGATTATTTCTACCTTTATATGGTTAAAGTTCCTATAACATGGAATATTTTTTGCGTGAATATTTAGCTTATTACGTGTACAAACCAATTCCGTCAGAAGAAGGTTTTAAAAAAACCTAAACACCGTTTTTTCGGGCCCTAAAGTGCTCATATTTTGTATTAAAAGTGTCCCGTGGACTGGTAACGAATTAGCGGGTGATGACGCAGCAAACTGTGAAAATTCTCAGCTGAAAGTCACAAATCTCTCACATCTCATGTAATTTTGTATCAGTTAGAGTTGAAATACTCTAGAAATAATGTCCGATAGCAATGTCTAATTACCTCAGGTAAGCTTTACGGCGAGTTGCTATACATCGTACTTAATTAGTAAGAAGAAATGGAAGTTGGAGAGGAGGAGAAGGAGAACCGCGTGCATCAAACGAAGATTTCGACGAAGACTGATAAAGACGGTTTCTCGCTTTAAGTCAAGAGTAGAACAAAAAAAACCCCGTCACTGAATGCTTAGGTTTTTGCGTTTGTGTTTTGTTTCCATGACGAAATCTGTCAAGAATGGGTAGCTGTGTTCGTTTCTGTCGCCATAACATTTTATTCGTTCGCACTGAGCGCGGCGAAGGTTGCCTTAGGTCAATGCTCTAGAGTTTCGTTGCTATAGGGTATTTCTCTTTGGAAACCAAAAGCTAACTTTGACAAAAAAATCAGCTGTATCACGAGGCACAATGATTTTTCGCCGAGAGGTCATCGGGCAGTTTCACTGCAAGTTTCTCCTTTCCTCAGAGATTGCAAAAGCAGAGGCTATCGTCGTCGAGCCAGTCAAAAGGAAAACGAGTGAGTTTATAGTCATCTGATTCAAGTTAATCGCAGATAGAGATTTCAACAGAGAAAAACTTCTTAGTTCAAGTGCAGCATTGTCAAGTGACCCGTTTCGATGAATGGCAAACAACTGAAATCAGTATTGTAAATAAATATTTCGTACGCAAGGACTTTCACACGGCGCTTGGATTTGCTATCATATATACGTTTATTTATTTATCTCGTTGCAGTGCTGTTATCTCTGTGACATTGCTATTGTTGCTACTTTTAGTTTCTTGAGGGCAGGGGGAATTGATGGCTCTTGGGATGGATTCTCCTAGCCTAGGCTAGGAGAATATACGGCCCCTTTGAGCTTGTGTTTATATCCGTATATAGAGGTTATATAGAGGTTTTGCATTGTACACACAACAGAATATCGGCCAGCTCAGCGAAGGGCTCGAAACTTATACAAATGGCGTATTTCTGTTATCAAAATACGATGGACACCACAATTGATAGAATTTTCATACGATAAGAGAAGTGCAAATGTAGTCATGTGGAAATACAAGGAATATGAGTACCCAAGCGCGTGAAAAACAATATGGAGCTCACCATTGTACGCTTGTGAAATGTCAGCCGAAAAAAGTGTTGAACAGTCAGATGTGGGAACAGGCCCTTTGATCAGCATTAATTAGCAGAATTAAACGGTTTATATCTCCCCCTGGGTTTGATTAATGGTATGTGTTCATAACATCCGCGTTCGTTACGGAGCAAAAGGCCGATGACATTGAAGAGTAAAATCTCCTCGATCTCGACGATGTCGAAACGCGTCCATGTTTGCTATACAACTACATCCTTTGGAAAGGAGTGGACAGAAATACCCGGTACATTTGTATTGTTCTTTAAGCTAACATCATTTGGCGCTCCGGCCAACAAATCGTCCTTTCAATGCACAAAAAAATAGTCCAGGAGAGCTGGTTGGTTATTTCTAATTTTAAACAAAGTTATTAACCAGAAAATGCAAAAACATCTTCATGTCATAGGCACTTTAAAAAAAATATCCGTGGTTCTCATCATGAGTATCTTGGCTTACACTTTTCATCAATGAACCTCCCGTTTTGACAGTGCCAGTGCCACTACCACTGCCACTGCCACTGCTACTGCCACTCTCACCGTCCCCGTCCCCGTCCCCGTCCCCGTCCCCGTCCCCGTCCCCGTCCCCGTCCCGTCCCCGTCCCCGTCCCCGTCCCCGTCCCCTCCCCCTCCCCCTCCCCCTCAATGTCACTTTCACTACTACTACCACTTCCACTGTCACTTTCACTGTTACTTTCACTGCTACTACCACTATCACTACCACTGCCGCTGTCACATTCATTGTCACTGTCACTGTCACTGTCCCTGTGACTTTCACTATCACTGTCACTATCAATTTCATTGTCACTGTTTCTGTCACTGACACACCATCATTGTCACCGTAAATTTCACTGACACTTTCACTGTCACTGTCACTTTCACTGCTATTGCACTTTCACTGTTACTATCTCTTTTATTGTCACTTTAGCTGTCACTGTCATCTCCACTATTACCGCACTTTCACTGTCACCGTTACTGTCATTTTCACTTTCACTGTCGATGCCACTGCCACTGTCACTGTTCCTGTCACTGTGCTTGTTCATGTCCCTGTCACCGTTGCTTTCACTTTCACTTTCACAGTCACTTTCACTGTCACTGTCACTGTTACAGTCAATATCATTGCTATTGCCACTTTCACTGTCACTTTCACAGTCACTGTCACTGTCACTGTCACTTTCACTGCTACTGCCACTACCACTGCCACTGCCGCTGTCACATTTACCGTCACTGTCCCTGTCACTTTCACTATCACTGTCACTATCAATTTCACTGTCACTGTTGCTGTCACTGTCACTTTCACTATTATTTCACTGTCACTGTCACCATCACCATCATTGTCACTTTCACTGCTATTGCATTTTCACTGTTACTGTCACTTTTATTGTCACTTTCACTGTCACTGTCACTTCCACTATTACCGCACTTTCACCGTCAAAGTTACTGTTACTTTCACTTTTACTGTCGATGCCACTGCCACTGCCACTGTCACCGTCACTGTCGCTGTCACATCTATGGTCACTTTCACTGTCACTGTCACTTTCACTATTATCACACTTTCACTGTCACTGTTACTGTCACTTTCATTTTCACTGTCAATGCCACTACCACTGTCACTCTCACAGTTACTGTCATTGTCACCGTCACTGTCACCGCCACTGTCACCGCCACTGTCACCGTCACTGTCACCGTCACTGTCACTGTCACTGTCTTGTAACTGCCACTGTCACTGTCTTGTAACTGCCACTGTCACTGTCACTGCCACTGCCACTGTCATTGTCACTCACTGTCACCATCGCTTTCACTTTCATTTTTGCTTTCACTGTCACCGTCATCGTCACTTTCTCTATCACTGTCACTGTCACTGTCACTGACATTGTCATTGTTACTGCGGTAAATGTCATTATTATTGCAATTTTCTTCAGTTTCATCGTGGCTTTATTATTTCATTTTCACTGTCAATGCCACTACCACAGTCACTCTCACAGTCACTGTCATTGTCACCGTCGCTGTCACCGTCACCGTCACTTTCACTTTCACTGTCTCTTTCACTTTCACTCTCAGTCTTAGAACTGCCACTGTCAATGTCATTGCTATTGAACTTTTACTGTCACGGTTACTGTCACTGTCACTTTTATTGTCACTGTCACTGTCACTGTCACTATTACTGCACTTTCACAGTCACTGTTAGTGTCACTTCACCGTCAATGCCACCGCCACTGCCACTGTCACTGTCACTGCCACTGTTACTGTCACTGTCACTGTCACTGTCACTGTCACTGTCACAGTCACTGTCACTGTCACTGTCACCGTAACTGTCACTGCCGCTGCCATTGTCACTCACTGTCACCATCACTTTCACTTTCATTTTTGCTTTCACTGTCACCGTCATCGTCACTTTCTCTATCACTGTCACTGTCATTGTCATTGTTACTGCGGTAAATGGCTTTTTTATTACAATTTTCTTCAGTTTCATTGTGGCTTTATTGCTATGGTTATTATGAATAACGTTGTTGTTTTTTCATTGCGTAGGTGAAAAATACTACTGGCAGCACGGGCATCATAGGACCACCTGGAGTCAACGGTACTAATGGGGACACTGGACCTGTCGGACCTCCCGGACCTTCAGGATACAATGGTACTAAGGGTGGCATTGGACCTGCCGGACCTGCAGGACCTCCCGGACCTCCAGGTTTTAATGGTACTCAGGGCCTCGCCGGACCATCTGGAGAGCCTGGTGTTCAGGGCCCTCGTGGACCATCCGGGTACAATGGAACCCAAGGACCCCCTGGACCTGGGCCCAGTTCCTGCGCTTTCAAGACTTCATCCAGTTCTGGAATGACAGCAGACCCTGCCGCTGTACAAGCAGTTCTAGTTACAGAACCAAACGTAGGTTACAGATTAGCTCTTTATTTGGTACAGAAAAAAAAATTGAGCGATTTATTTGCAATTTGTTCCCAAAAGTTATCTCTTATTGGTTCTTCGATATCATAAATGAACTTTAGGAGGCTTTGACACTTTTGATCTCTAAATTTAACGTAGAGTGGTTCCCTGGATTTTTTCTCAAGTTTAAAGGTTGATAGGTTGAAATGTTGCAATGAACGAAGTTATCCCAAGAGATATGTAGATTTGAATAAAACCTATCACCACATTTACGCGGCAAAAACGTTTGATGATGACATTCCCCGCTTCCAAGAGTGGTATCAATGTCGTTTTCATGCAAACATCCGCCTGTTTTGGTATTTTTACCCGATTTTTAGTGAAACAACTGGTATTTTACTTCAAAAGTTTTCCTCTGAAATAACGATTTACGATTAAAAATGCCCAATATGCAAATTTTTCTGAGTTATCAGATGCTAAACGCTATCAAAGAGAAAGGATGACGAGATGGCCGGAAAAATCTAAAGGTCAAGCCGTTTTCCAAAGAACTACTAAATTTGCTGTTTAGAAGCGGAGACGAGCAACTTTCTGTAGTCAACGAAACCCGGTGAATAGATTCATCAATTAACTAGTTGTTTACTCAACTTCACGGCCAGAAAATTCGAGTAGCATTCATCTGCAAATTCTGAAAGTAGTATAATTCTGAAATAAAAACAGCTTCTATTTAAAAATATTTTTAAGACATATTAACACTTGAAGTAATATTCATAGGTACAAAGAGTGTCCAAATATCGAAAAGCCTCACTTAAAGGCAACAACCTTCCCTTATTTTTTCCACCTTTAGTCCGTCTCGCTTTTGAGATTCGAAGTATACTCAACTCCCAAGTTCATTTCGACGCTTTTGAGTCTCAAATCTCCATCAGTTTTTGGCGAGTTGATGTTTTTAGCATATATGAAAGAAGACATTGAACAACTCATTACGAACCTCAGCACGAACTTATTGGGGAGGTTCGTTCTACCGCCAGATATCAATTAAAGTGCGTTCTTTACAATTTCGTACCCTTCAGGATATCTACGGTCAGTTTTATAATTCTACAAGTAATGATCTCCTTAGCCCTTCAGGGCACGACGAAAGGTTTTCAAATATATTTATTTTCAAAAAAGCTTCTGACTCTGTATTTTAGACCAATTAAAAAAATAAAATAAACTATGATGCGCGAACGACCTGCCCGCTTGAGAACCTGGTAATGCGTTGTTTTATCCCAGCTTATACATTTAGACGCCGGTATTTAAAAAAACGCGTGTTTCTTTGTTAGGTTCCTAGATTTGAAGGATGTATTTATGATAACATCAGGCCTGTGATAACATGGTGCACAAAGCATGTCTCAGATTATGGTTGTTGGCCTTGTGCATCTTACATCATGAATGATATAACATGTACACTTGCCTAATCTCGAAAAGGAAAAAATTGGTTCAGGTTTTCGCATTTCGAACTCTTGACACCATTTTTTATTGTCATTATTGTTATCATAATCATTAAAGGTCTTTTTTCTCTTTCAGGGTAAGACGTTTATTGGTGTAAGCTGTGATACAAATGATGCAAAAGTTGCTAAATTATCAAGCACCAGCTCAGGTGGAAAGAGAACCTTCAAGTGCTCTTGTGAGGGTACCCTAACAACTGGAGAACCAAAGATGGTTTGCTATATCCACTACTGGGAGTGTCAGTTATAAAGAGGAAAACGTTAAGCCATTTGTTTAACAGGAGTCATTTTAAAGATGTTTATAGAATATTGAATCAAAAGCGAGACGAAAAAACAATTTAGTTGTCTAACGTAAGCGCTATATTACATTTTTATTTGTAGCAAATATTTTTACAGAAGAAACAAAGCTTTCTTGCCATGTACACTGCTGGAAACCTAAAGCTATTCCTTTGACATGATACTTTGTATCAAGCGGATGAGGGGGTGTCAAACCAGCGGTCAGATAAAGAAAACCAACAAATCAATAGAAGTTAAACTGTTTTATTTCTTGAAGGCATCATTTTAAACTATGTCGTCGAGTTATAAATATTTTTGAACTTGCACAGTTCTGGCAGGTTCCGAATAATGTATGATTTAATCACATTGCAGCCATTATTGACAGCTAATTTAAGACTTAGTCCATCGCTCTGTAGGACGGCAACATAATTATGTCGTTGTGAGCGTTTTGTCGTTTTCTGTTGGAGGGCATTTCAACTAAGTGTGGTAAAATTAAAACCAAAATAATCATCCTATGAGATCGCAAAGTAAAATAAATCAATGTTTAAAATGTGTAAAATCGTGTTTGACCAAGAAGCGATTGGATTAAGTTTTGATGTGATTGGTTGTGAGGATGGCGTGAGCTTTCTGGACCAATCACAAAGCGAAGTGGAACAAAACCAAAGCAATCTACGATTACTTTTGACAGTCAATTAAAATTCGCCCTATTTACCGACAGTGTGTTTAAATTACCTGGTTTCGAGTTATTATTGTGAAATATTAGTTATCCATACTAATTCAAATATGTACAACGCGGTTCCTATGTCTCCACCGACTTCTGCTCCAATTGGCATAGGATTAAGGAATTAATCCTGGTTTTACTCACTCAGCCTATTACGATTGTTCACATTGTAATCAACTGATATGAAGGTTTTTATCATGAGGAAAATATAAAAAGGTAGCGTTGTCTTACGTACTTACTTACTATTCGCTCATACAGATGTTATCCATGCTTAATAACATGCATTCATCATCAAAGCAAGATTTAAATTCTTGCGTGAACAAAATTCGCGCAGTTGTGCCCGGCCGCGTCAAATTTTAGTTTAAGAAATCCAAAATATCACTTCCAAGGAAAAAAAAACTAGAAGTAAATAAGGAGTTTCGTTGTAGTTGAGTAGGTGAGGGCTAGAAATGGAAGAGGGTTGTCTGAAAAAACAAAGAGCCCACTCTGATATCATTTCCGATGCGCCTGACGGATGGCCAGATCAGTCTATAACGCTAAGAGAGACAGAATGCGCCCCCCTCCCCCCTCCTCCTACACCTGCACTGCTTTTGCCTTCTCAGAATGTTTTAGTTATTTGTTGTTGTTTTTGCCTTTTGGATTAGTTGGAGATTCTGTTGGTGTTAGGACTTGAAACGAATACAGATGACTCAAGGCTGCTTATGATATAGAGCAGGCCTTACATAAGTACTGTTTGCAACTTTAACTTTACATTTCACGTTTTTGATTGGTCTCAAATATAATTCCTGAGAGAACTGTGAGCAAATTCAGTTCTTTCACCAGCTTTGTACATTTGCTTTACGGCTTCATCTTAGGTAGAGGAAAATAGAGTCAGGCTGTCTTAACAAAAGTGGATCGTCATTAGAAAAACGAGAGCGGAGATGACTGTTTACAGAGCCATAAAATCTCCTTTGACCTCATCTGAAAAACAGAAACATCATGTGCCCCTCGGCTTTTAATCATCTACATGACGTCTGCAGATCATTGATACACGGATCAAAAACATTTATTCAAAACAAAATCCAAAGAAGCGAGTTCATTATGACAGCCTAGACCTATAACAGGAGAGGATAATTTCTTTGTTAAATAATACTCAGATCATCATTTTAGGTCAATTGAACTGTTCAATGTACTTTCTATAAACCTTCTTCGAAACAAACATTTACTGTTATATTTTCCGACAGCTTACGCACCAGTCAATCTTCACTGTTTCTCATAAGAGCGCCGTCAGTGATTGCCATATCACATCGCATTCCATTGCCTCTTTGGCCTGCTTAAGCTGGTCCAAATTTAATCTTATCTACAAACGGCACAATCATACCACCCAATGATGGATACTAAGATCGAGGTCGGGCGGGAGAACGTTTATTTCGAAATGGAATCTAAACAGGAAGATCACGCCGAAACCTACGACAATGTAGTTTTCAGAAAGGACACTCCTCAGGCAAAGCCAAACGTAAAAGCACAGGTGTATAGAGATCCTGATACAGTGAAACATCACCGATTATTCTTTATCGCATCTGCCACTGCTGTTGCTTCGCTTTTAACAGCCCTTACCACTTTAGTTTTAGCTGTGGCAATCATGACAAAACGGAACGAAGTTTCTACAGGTACGGCTACCACTACTCCTTCCTGTCAAATTTGTTATTTCCTGTTTATTCAAATCATAAACGTGATTGAAAAAGTGAATTGATTAACGACAGGATGAAGCAAAAAATAATTCACTTCAGTCCTGACTATTCCCTGTCCAAAGAGGAAATTAGAGGAACTTCTGTCTCGATATGATTTGAGTGTTGTTATTATTTAGATTCTTCGAAACTGGGTCAATAAAAGCCATATTCTTTTTTAAGTAAAAGCCCTATTTATCGACCAACTACACTCGCGTAAAGTTTTCACCCCAAGTTAAAAAAATAATTTCTTGAAGAACTTCGTTCAGAGTTTGAAATATTTGACCTTTATTGTGACAGCTGACCGTTGAGCGTTGAATAACACATTTCTTTATCCTCCAAAACAGTAACTTCGTCTGCTCTCTCACGAACACAACTCCGATTCGCAAGTGTGGCGCATCAAGCATATTACTGTAAAAGCACATCAATTATTCTACTTCAAAACGCCAATTTAGCAAAAAGAAAAAAAATAATACAACCTCCACTTTACTTTTGGATTCTTAAATCTCTTGTAAGGGATAATGAACAATGACCTCGCTAATTGCTATCTCAAACACGCAAGGGATGAAAGCGAAGCAAAATGTTCAACAAATAGTCATTACATTTATTGGTATAAAATGCGGATATATAATCAATCTAAAGAGTTAATCTAACCCTGTCCGTTGAGTTATTATTCTTATTGTGGCATGATTGTTAAACTATTTACTCTGCCAGATAAGTCACAGGTTGAAAAGAAGGTTTAGGAGTTGGAGACGATCCTCTCGGCTCTACAAAAAAATTCGGTAGGAGCAATAATTTCTTTTTTTTTATGAGAGTACAGAGCATAGAGATGAGCTAAAGTTGTCACGCCATCTGCCAAATTGTACTATGTCCGAGCTTTATCCCGGACTTCTCTCTAGCTTCTTTTTTGGTTATTTGAAATTGAAATTTCGGAACAAGCGAGCCGGCAAGTAGCAACAGAAGAACCAAACAAAGGTTTGTAAACATGTCAGATACCTTCATTTAAGTAATTATAACGCGTGCAGAGACCAAAATCCTCAAAGAGAAAACGAAATGGAAAGTCTCAGCTTTTAAGGTTTCCACGGTCAGTTAGATTGCAAGCTTAGGTATGGTAATAAAAATCAAACACAGCTAGCACTCGTATAGCATGTAAAGTTTCGTGTTCAAAAACAAAACAGAACAAAACAACAACGATGAAAAATATTGCCAAATTGGCATAGCTGTTAAAATTCTTAGTAATCATGACGGTGTCAGAGCGACTGCAATCATGCCAGCTCATCATTGCGATCTCCAGTCATCGCTGTTATGCAAGCCTTAGAAATCGGCCGGTCTTCGAGTGAACTCGAATTTTCCTTTTGTATTTTTTCGAAAACTCAAACGGCCAGATTTGTTCATTTCAATAAAAGCCATCTAAGTTGTAGACGTTAAGACTGTTTTGTTGACATTTTTGCGGTTTTTATCTTTCAATACTCCAGGGGGTAAAGTTATATATTTTATGATAAAAATCAAAAAATAAGTGCAAAAAAAAAGTTCTGAGTCGGGTCCAAAACATATATTTATTCCAGCCCGGACCTCCCAGACCTCCAGGATACAATGATACTAATGGTGACATTGGACCTACCAGACCTTCCGGACCTCCAGGATATAATGGTACTCAGGGTCATGCGGGACCATCCGGAGAACCTGGTGTTCAGGGCCCTGGTGGACCGTCCGGTTACAATGGTACCTAGGAATAACCTGAGCCCGGGGCCAATTTCTGTGTTTTCAAGACTTTATCCAGCTCTGGAATGACAGCAGGTTCGTTCGCTAGATAAGAAGTGCGAGTGACAGAACCAAACGTAAGTTACGTATCAGCTCTATATAGGGTACAGAAAAAAAGAATTAATTGTTTTATTAAAAATTTGTTCCCAAACTTTATCTATTACTGGTTCTTCAAAATCATAAAAGAACTCTAGGAAGCTTTAACACTTTTGATCTTTAAACTGAACGTAGAGGGGTTCCCGGGATTTTTTTCTCGAGTTTAAAGGTAGATAGGTTAAATGTCGCAATGAAGGAAGTTATTTCAAAGATATATAGATTTAAAGAAATCCTATAAGCGTCTTTTAGCGGCATAAACGTTTTTGTTGATTACATTTTCAGCTTCCATAAGAGTGGTATCAACGTCATTTCATCCAAAAATTAGCCCGTTTTGGTTTTCTTTACCCAATTATTAGGGAAGCAATTGGTATTTTTACTCCAAACGTTTTCCTCAGAAATAACGGTTTACGATAAGAAATGCAGAACACGCTTTAAGTCGATATGCAAATTTGTCGGGGTTAGTAGATGATAAACGCTATCTTAAAGAAAGGAAGAAAAAATGGCCAAGAAAAAATCTAGAGGTCAAGCCTCTTTCCGTAGAACCACTTAAACTTGCTGTTTAGAAGCGAAAACGTGCAGCTGTCTGTCGTAAACGAGAACCGGTCGATAGATTTATCAGTGAAATAGTTGTTTACTGAACTTCACGGCCAGAAAATTCGCGTAGCATTCATTTGAAAATGCTGAAAGCTGTATGATTCTGAAATGAAAACAACTTCTACTTAATGATATTTTTAGGACATATTAACACTTAAAATGATATTTACCGGTACAAACAGTAATCCAAATATCGAAGAGTCTCTCAGAGGCAACAAGCTTCCTTTTCAATTTCCAGCTTTAGTCCATCTCGCTTTTGAGATTCGAAGTATACTGAACTCCCAAGTTCATTTCGACGCTTTTAAGTCTTAATTTCTCATCACTTTCTGGCGAGTTGATGTTTTAGCATATAAAAAAGGAGACATTGAACAACCTATGACGGCCTTCAGCACTAACTTATTGGGCAGGTTCATTTCACCGCTAAATGTAAATTAAAATGCGTTCTTTACAATTTCGTACCCTTTAGGATATCTACGGTAAGTTTTATAATTCTGCAAATAGCGATATCCTTAGCCCGTCATGGAACGAAAAAAGGTTTGCGAATACATATTTTCAAAAAAACTGCTGACATTTAACATTTCCTAACATTTTCCCATTTATTGCGCGATTAATGATAAATTATCGCGCGATAATTTTTATTTATCGCGCACTAACTTTTCATTTATCACGCGATAATTTATCATTTATCACGCAATAATTTATCAGTTATCGCGCGATAAAAAATAAAATAAAATAAAATAAAATTTTTTAAAAATATGGCATGTCCTCTATGGGCCACCGTAGACTTCAGCCTTGATCTCAGGTTCCATCGGGTGACGTTTAAAAATTGCGTGAACCAATGTAGACAAACAAATTGGCGACAGCGAAGCGAAAAAAATGTCGCCTGCTGCCATAATTGTGCCGCTAACGCGCTCCAGGAAGCGTTCTGAAAGGCGGGACAATAGAAAACTGTGGTCGAAGACGCGAATTTATTGAAACGCAGTCCTTCTTGAG